AGCAGAGATTTAGGAAAGGACTTTCCTGTCGCCTCTGGGAGAGCTGTTCCCCGGTGTTAAGAGAACAAAAGGCCCGTCCACAAAAGCCCTTCTGCATACACCAGATTACACATGTGAGCAAAGCCACTCCTGTGCTAGCCCGCAGCGTGCGCTCAGAGCAGGCTCGCTGCGCAGCGCCCCTGCACCTCTGCCCCTGCTCCGATCCCCTCCCCGTGTCTCCATTCAGGTGTCCGACCTGCGAGGCAGAGCCCCCGGGGAGCGGCTGGGATTACTCCATGCCGGAGCGCAGCGCTCCCTTTCCCTAACCACTCAGGAGCAAAGTCTAAATGCATCTTTATTGGAGCTCCGTGAGCCGGGCGGGCTGGGGTTGCTGTGACGTGCGGGTGAGTCCTCACACGGGGACAGGAATGAGACAAACAACTGAAGCAGCCAAACAGCTCAATTCTTCCCCTGCCGCCAGTTTTCCCAGGCAGGCACGCTCCAGCCAGAGACTGCGATACAGTTTCCGTGTGATGCTTAACACGTCTCCCTGGGCACCAAGTCCCTCCTCCTAAGAACCCTCAATGCCAGCCTCCCCTTTCAGCCTGCAGATGCTTCTCGCTGCAAATGAAGGTCCCACAGACCCCCGCAGCAAACGACACACGTTTTCGACAGGCCAATGATGCTGCTGTTGGGTCTAACCCAGCACCACACACACTAACAGCACGGGATGAACAGGTTAATCTGTGGAGGGTACGAGTCCTTCAACTCAACTCTTTCTCCCCAAGGCCCAAGCGATGCTTCAAATCCCGACCCCCCTCATCCAGACCCCGCAGGTGCCATCCCACCGAAGCAATGCACAAACTCTGACCCGCCACGAGCTGCGCTGGAGCCCCCAGGGCCCCCCGCCAGCAGCTCGGCCAGCTTTGTATCCAAATCCCGCTCCTTAGCAACGACATTTTTTTCCCCCCCTCTTGCTGGGTCCGCGGGAGATGAAGAAATATTTGAGAACTGAAACAGCCCTGCTGCAAGTATATATTTAAATAAAAGGAACACGTCCGCTTGAAAGCCAGTCACTAGGCAGCTCTGGAGATAACGGCATTAGAGAAGTACAAGCAGGGGATGCCCAGCCTTTAAATGTGGTCTAGAATGACCTAAATAAGCTCCCTGCTCCGTCAATTACACATCCCTTGCGGGTCAGAGCGGCTGACAATTAAGAGAGCCGGAAAGGGTGATGGAGGAGCGCTAGCGGTGAAGCCCTTCCTATGGCCGGACCAACTCAAGCGGCCCTAAAAACAGGCCGTGCTCTGGCCCTAACTGTGGGGTGGTCACAGCCGACCCCCCAGCTCTGAAACAGCGGCACCGGCTGAGCGAGACCCATCCCTGCAGGCACAGCTGGCCTGACACTCTTTTTGCTCATCCCACCCCAAACCCGGGCACACGGTAGCATGGAAATCCTCCAAGACTGCATTTAGTTGCCCCTGCCTGGTAATCCCACCTCGACAGATAGAAAATAGATGGCTGTAGCGGAGCAATAGTGTGATCTGGGGGGCCCTGAGCTGCAGCGTGGGACCTCCTGCCTGCCCCGTTGCAGGGAGCCCCCGGAGCAAAGCCGGGGCACGGGGGTGCCCCTCCAGCTTGTGGATAAACAAAGATTTCCATTTCCAGGGCTGCCAGTCGTACTAAATCCACTAAAACCTCAGCGAGATCCCAGTACCGGAGGGTTTCCCACCCCTATGGAACATGGCACGGCAGCCTCCAAGTAACATGATCCTTATACAAACACATTTAGAAACCTCTCTCCAGCTTCTCTCTAACCGTATCAAATAATAATAAAAAAATCCCTCCCACCTCTGTTATTCCCATCCTGCAGCAGCCACCAACAATCAGCATCTCAGCCTGCTCCCAGCCTCACCGCCGGCTCCAAACCCTTCTGGAAGGGAGCCAGAAGGTAGGTCCCCATCCAACAAATACCAACAGATGATGTTCATCTGGCAAATTGCAAGGGGCATATCAAGTTGTGCTTGGGGGAGGAGAACAGGCTGGGAGAAAAGGATCTTCTTCCAAAGGCACCATAGGAAGCTAAAAGAAAATGGCTTTTAAGAGAAATCTTTGCCCCTCCCTTGCCACCTTCCGGGCTGTAAAGAACAAGCACTGACCTCCAAGGCATCTGGGCTGAGCAATTCAAGTTTTCGAGGACGCGTTTAGCAACTGAAAAATCTCCTAATTGTTCAGAAAATAAATAGAGCCAGAATAGCAAGGACACAAGCTTTTTTGATATGCGTCAGCCCAGCCACTTGTCTAGAGGTTTGGCAGTATCAGTCTCACGAAAGTTTCAGTCTGTGTCATCTGCAGTGGTGTTTACGGCACGCTTGTCCAACAAGGACCAGGAGGAGAGCCACCAAATTCACTTTGTGGCTGCCCCTGGACAGGAAGGATTGACACTTGCTGCTGATTTGGGATGGATTGGAACTGGAAAGGTCAAAGCAAAAGGTCTGCAAAGCTGCTCTGTCAATCCCTCGCTTGAGACAGTCCGTTTAAATTTTCCATTCCCTGTGGTTAAAATCACGGCGAGAACACTTGGCAACACGTGGCCGTGAGACCTTGAGTAGGACCTCAAAGCGATGCCTGGGCGATCGATGCCGTTGCTGTGGGATACAGGCAAAGGTCTGCCCTGCTGACATCCGTGGGGGCTCAGCCGAGGAGCGGAAAATGAGATCCGCATTCCCTGCAACCTGCCCAGCAGCTTTCCAGGGATCCTCTATTCCCTGTGGGACCAGACTATCCGCCCCATAAGCTGGCACAGCTCCACCGAAACCAGCTCTGTCCCAGCATAGGGGACACGCCGCACCCGGGAAGCGCAACACCCTTTGGTGGAGGCAACAACCCCAGGCTCCCACCGCGGACCTGGGGACCGGCGGCAGCGCTGCGGGGCTGTTAAGGGGGGTTAGCAAAACACTGAAGGTCTCCGGGGGTTTTCTTATTCAAATAATCTGCCTTCTCCTCCCAGCGTGCATCTTGCAGCATAACTACCTGAGGATTATAACCACACCAGGCTGCTGCCAGGACAGTTGTCACGATGATGACACTCTTACTTTTTTTCCTTTCCCCAGCCGTGCACTGTAATGCCGGCAGGTGCAACCCGCCCGGCAGGGCTTAGTGAGCGACGTGGAGGCCCTCGCACGGGAACACTCTAGAGGTTGGCAGCTCTCCGAGCATCTCAAAGCTGCTCAGGAGGCAGCGGGTCACCATACACCACTCTGGGATGCACCTTTTCTTGCCATGACTTGCAAATGGATGGTACAGAGAAAGGAGAAATTTGTCTGCAGGTTGTTCAGGGCTGGGAGGAAAACCAAGCAATCAGATGCCAGGACTGTGCTCTGACCATTACGCAGCACAAACCCACGTACAGCCCAGAGCAGAAATCCGGGCAAAGACGGCTTCAGAGGAGGTCTGGCAGGCAGTTGTCTCTCTCCACTGTGCTCAGGTGAGCGGGGGCTTGCTCAGGGCCAGCGGGGGCCATGCAAAGCCGCCCTCAGCCCCAGTGACTTTTCCTTTGCAAGCCCCCATCGCCCGAGATGCTGCCAAACCCTCTCCTGAGCTCCGGAGCCTCCTCCGGCCGGGGTGCATGGGGGCTCGCACGTGCCAGGCAGCCTCTCCCTGGGGTAAGAGCAGCACGCTGCATCACCCCCTCTTTTCCTCCCCACTCCTCTTGCTCTCCCTGCCAGAAGCGCGGCCCCTCGGCCTCCCGGAGCACGGAGGGCCGGAGAGGCTGGACTTCCTGCCAGGCATAACACGAACCAGATGATGTACTCCAAACAATGTCAGTACACCCGCCCCCAGGAGAGAGAAGCAGGGAGGGGAAAGAGGGGAAAATAAGCTGGATGGAGCTTTCATGAACTCTCAGCAGAGCTGATGAGCTCCTGCCACCAGGCCAGAGGTGAACCGATACAGCTGGAGCCTGAGATAATCCCTTCCCATCCGTGGCTGACCAAGACTTTCCATCACAGATTATGGGGTAGATCATTTAGCGCTGGGAGAAGGAACCATCACCCCCTGAAACGCTGCCTGCCCTCCCCAGATATCAGCACAGTAACTCAAAAGGTTTTAGTGGTGATTCCCCCCCCTCCGCCGCCCTCCTCCAGCGGGAAGCATCCAGAGCTGAGAAGCACATCTGCAGCTGGCTCTAAATCCCAGCAAAGCCAGACTTGCTGACCCTCGCTGATATTAACCCCTGCACCACCAGCCCGCAGGGCTCGGACCCTGCTGTAAAAGCACCACCTCTGAACGCCAAAACTTTCCTCTAGCTGAGTTTGCTCAGAATCAATGACATTCCCGGCATGCTGAAGATGATCAGCCATTACTAAGAAAAAAGGCACAGCTCCGACTCAGATTATTTTGGGTGTCTCCACGTGCAACTGCCATCAACAAACCACCCAGGCCGAGAGCTCCAGGGGACCAGTCCGACTCTGAACCGCCAGAGGTCGAATCCAAAGAAGCGCAAATATTTCACATCCTCCAGCAAAGTCCTCCCGATGTCCATAACCTTCCCAGAGGACGCTTCTGTGGTTTGGACAAGCCTGAAGCCTTTGCAAGCAGCTCGGATCTGAGCAGACTCCTGCCTCCAGCAGCCAGAGTCTCAAATAAAATGTTAAAAGCCCCCGGTTTTAGCAATCCGCCCCCTTCCCCGGTTGTCTTGAGGGAGACCGTCTCTTTGGTTTCTCGCAGCAGAGAGCCTGGCAGCCTGCCTGCCAGCCAACGGCACAGGGACACACGGCAAGAAAACCAAGCAGGGGCACCCATTTATTAAATAAAATGAAACAGCACCACGTGCAGCAGACTGCCCGCAGCCATCCCCCTACCGCGCTCCGGGCGGGCTTTGGCCAGGCTGCCAGCGTAGGCGGAGAACCCCCAAACTAGAGCGGGCTGTGCGCCGGGGCCCGCTCCGTGCCCCCCCCCCCTTCCCCCCCAACCTCATCCCAGCAGCGACGCCCCCAACCATCCCCATCCCCGCCACTCACCTCCAGCGGCGGCAGGGCGGGGGCGGGCGGG